GGACACCCCTAAAATTTGGAAACACGATTATTCAACCTACGATAGTAATTTGCGTATGAGAAAAAAAAAAATTAAGTGGTAGTGGGACACCTTTAAAATTTGGGAAAATGATTATCCAATCTCCCGTAGTAGTTTGAGTATTGGTATAAATAATATTTAAGTAGTAGTTTATGTGATTTAAATTTGGGACACTGCCACTATTAGTTAATATATTTTCAATTACGCTACAACTCATTTGTTATTGTGTTTTAGATCCAAATATAATAGTAAAATATTATTCTTATCTCAAATTATTTTCAAAACCTAACGATTAAACTCAATTACGGGATATCCTAGTCTAGTAAGATATGTCGAGAGATATTTGTTGAGCAGTATAAACACCGAATGCATTTTATCATTTGACGAAACACGTATGAACTTTTAATGAAACTTTATTAGTTAGATATTTTCATATTTAATAATTATTTAATTTAATTCTAATATTTAATATACTTTTTTATAGAGGACACCCCTACGTAGAATTTCTGGATCCGCCACTGATGCAAATTGATGGTAGTTAATAATGCAATCAAGTTATGAACTTGCTTTATATTAGGTTAATAATAAAGGTATTTAATGATGCAAAAATTCAATCATAGTAGTTACGTCTTGAGATAGAATTTGGGAAGAGGGTACATGAATTCCTCATTTCCTTGAGCATACCGCCCCCCCCCCCCCCCCCCCGGTTTTTCATATGCATTATGCAACAGGAAAATTAATGAAAAGGTAACTTGCGCTTTTAATTAAATGATGATTGGAAGAATCATATGGAAATTGTATGCTAATCTTACACATAAACATAGGGCCGGTAAACGGTCGGTAACCGGTTAAACCGGATACCATTTACCCGGTATACCGCATATCATCACACACCCGCCGATTGTCGATACCGTGTAAGAGTCGGTATACTGAGTATCGAGTGTGACGATTATCGGTTATATCCCGGTTTCTCGATTTACCGCTAAATGGGAGAGGAAGGGGGAAATTGTTGGAGCCTAGAATGGTTATCTTTCTGCTCCATTATCGACATGACTTGGCGAAGGATTATAGGAGCAGGAGAAGGGATGCTTGCGGACACTGTAAAGTGTAAATGATGACATGTGTCGTGACTCATGAATGATGAATCAAATTGATTTTGTGGACAGTAGACACGTTAAAGGCTTAAAGCTACATGAGTAAAATTGATCAATCCTTTCATCACTGTGCACGTGGAATTTGGGAACATAACTGGACAATGGACACATATATATCTCACTGTGCACGTGGAATTTGGGAACATAACTGGACAATGGACACATATATATCTCAAGGGCCGGCTGTTTTTTTTTTTTTTTTTTGGAGTTGGGCATATATGCATGCACGAAAAGAATAGTTAATTTAAACCTGAAATCGATGGAGAGGATATGAATACTGAGCAGGAAAGCGCCGACGGCCACGAGGGTTGACGAACACAAGTCCGACGGCGACGAGGTCGAGCACTGTCGTCGGCGAAGAGGACGAGGTGCTGCCTGGGCTGCTGGGTCGTGGCTCGTGGGTCGAGCGTGTGGTGGCGAGTCGACGAAAAGCTTGGTTTGTATCGCAGGAGTCCTCACGCAGGCGGAGGGGAGACGGGTTGCAGACGAAGATTAATTTACTATTACTATTTTAGTATTTACTTAGGTAAATTGTAATTAGGGTTGGGGTGCCGACCTGTGTACGTTTGGGATTTTGGCCTTTTGCAACTTTGATCCAAGCACTGCCAAATCCGGTATCGGATAACCGGGAATCCGACGGGTTATTGGCTTGTCGATTCCGGTATACCGTTGCCCCTCTTTTGCAATCCGATAACCGTTGTCGTCGGTTAACGATTTAATCGGTAACCGCGGTTATCAGTACGGTTACCGGTTAAACCGTTAACCGGCAGACCGAATCCCAGCCCTACATAAACATAACATGAATAAGACCTAAATAATACACAAACCTAGAGGTGGCAAATCTCAATCCAATTCACCAATTCTATCCACCAACCCATTAAAAATATCCACCTAATCCAATCCATTTAAATCCAATTCATTTGTTCCAAATTCAATTGGATTGCTGGATTTATAGATTGATCCATGAATCCAATAGCAAACTACGGTTTGGTACCTATACTTTTTATATTTTACATTTTGGTACCCAAAATTATTTTTTATACAAAAAATATCAATGGAAAATTACGTTTTGGTACCTAAAATTTTTTATTATGACATTTTAGTAGCTAAACTTTTCACATTTTACATATTGTCCTTGATTGAGGATGTCATTTGGATTAATCTATGAATCCACTAATCCATTGGATCCACCAATCCAATCTACCAATCCATGGATCAATCCATTTGCCACTTTCTAGACAAACCAAAGTTACATAACAAAAGTGACCTTTGTGAATTGAGAAACATGTACCCAAAATACAAACTGAATAAGAAGTATGACACTGAAATGGGATGCTCTGAGCTTTGATATTCCAAAGACAGGGAAAGAAACCGATCACAAACTACAACAAATAATTTGAATAATCAGATATGTGCCTAAAAAAAAAAAGAAAGATCTTTCTATTTGGTCGAATTACCTCTATCCTCAGTCCCACCGTTGCACCGTAAATCTAGATACTGCAACCCTCTTCTCCTTCAGCTGTTGGATGCTTTCATAAAATAACATGTAAAGCAGTCATTACAATTCTGTTTACACCAAAAAATTAACCTTGTACCACATCGGTTAAAAACAAGGAATTAAATGGCTTTATAAGGCCAACTTAGTCATATCAGTTCAAATCAGTTGAGTGGGCCATGGAGATTGGGTTTTTGGGCCCATTACTCCGTGCCACCACGCGCGCAATGTATCTCCAAATTTGGCTAAGTATGGGAGCCACCCCCATGACACGTAAAGGTGGTGGGAGCTATACCACCACCCCCAAGACGTGGCAAGGGGGGTGGCCATCATCATACCACCCCCCAGGAGGTACCAAGGGGGGTGGCCACCATACTACCACCCCCAGGACGTGGCAAGGGGGGTGGGCGTCATACCACCACCCCCGGGAGGTATCAAGAGGGGTGGCCACCCCCCTGACATGGGCCACCCCCAGGACGTGGCAAGGGGGGCGGACGTCATACCATCACCCCCATGATCATGAGGATGATATAGTGGTGGGGTGATCTATATGACCCCCATGGAGGATGCCCCCAATGGTATGGTGAGGGGGTCACCAATGTACACCCCCCATGGTATAGCCAAGGCAGGGGGTTATGTGTGAGGTGGTCTCTTTACTCTACTAATGGTGAAGTACTTTTTGTCATTTTTAACTAACTAGCTTTTACCCGACCCATTGGTCGGATGATTTTTTTATTATTATTTATGATAAGCAATTTATTTTGAATTTTTAAATAATTTGGAGTTTTCTAGGTAGTTCGTGTATGGTTTGAAAGTAACTTTTATTATGCTTGTTGTGTGTGACATTAGTGGTAATTAGTTCATAACCAATTTTCTTGATTTGAAACAGTGGAAGCACTGTTTAAGAAAAAATATCCACTCATTGCCTTATCCGGTATCTTTAATATGATTTTACAATTCTTAATATAAACACATGTTAAATCAGAATTTCGTACATAGTACATTTGAAACATGAAGTTTATGCTCTAACCAAACCACAAACATGTAGTAGAATATATAATACAACACTAACAATGAAATATACAACATAGCTGACTACCCACAAAATAAAAATAGAAGTTCGTACATAGTACATTTGAAACCTGAATTTTATGCTCTAACCAAACCACAAACATGTAGTAAAATATATAATACAACACTAACAATGAATATACAACATAGCTGACTACCCACAAAATAAAAATAAGGCAAGAAAACAAATCGCACACGATTAACATAGCAGAGAAAAGTCCGCTTTTAGTCGGATAGGTTATTGGGTCAATAATTTCTGAAATAGAGGAACACCCAGGGACATTTTGGCAACAAAAAAAAACAACAACATAAAAACTAAAGAGGAGTGGGACCTAAAAATTGCAAAGAACTGGAGAAGCTCCCAAGTCCCACCACATTTGATTGCAATTGTGATTCTGGACTTTTGCTACGCAAGAATTCCATTTCATATAAACTTTTCGTATCAAACCTATGAATTGATGCACTTTTGGAAAATGGAAATCAGTATAATTGAGAGAAACAATAGACAAACCATGAAGCCAAGAATCGTCTAAATTAAACAAAATATAAAAACCAAGACAGTTTTCATAACTGAAGGATCAGATTCAATGAAGAACGGAATGGTGTTATTATAATGGAAGACCAGCAGGAGAGGAATTAACACTACAACAAAATATGTCTGTGGTGACAAAATGTTTTTTTGTCATTTACGATTTTGTCACAAGAATGCATCAAATTTGACAAAATATTAGTTTGTCATACCATCCAAGTATCTTGTGATAAAAGTTGGATTTGTCATAACCATTTGTCACAATATGGATATCTTGTGACAAACAAGGTTTATGTCACTTAAGGTTTGTCAAAATATCTCTTTCCGCAACACACCTATGATTATAATGTGACAAAATAGGCGTCACAATAATATTTGTCATATTACATACCATCGTATATTTATTGTGACAAACGAGTTTATCATAATATTATTAAGAAGACATATTATATGACAAAATATATTTGTCACTACTTGGGCTGCTAGAATTTTTTGTTGTCAGGCATAAGCCCATCCAAATTCATCTACTCCCAACGCTATCCCACCATCCCCTTTTTTTTTGTCGGGCACAAAACTCCAATTTCCCTTCTGTCACTTCCCTTCCTTTCCAATTTCTCAATGAAATCCTTACTCGCTTTCCACCACAACCGGCAAAATCCCTATTCTCATCAGCTCTTCCATTTCCCCCAAGATTTGCTGGAGCTTCAATTTCTCAACGTTTCCCGCAACTGCAAAGAGGAATTGGCCATTCCAATCCCTAATAATCCCTCCAAATCTCAAAACTCTCCTTCCCTATCACACTAGCGTCCGTGTTTAGCTTGTAAAACCCTGGTCGAGGCTTTTTGATGCATTCGATGATGAAGATCCCGGCTGTCCTACTCCCTGGCGCAATTAGTTATGTTCCAGGTAATCCTAAACCCAGCAGGTAGCTCTTTCCACAATCTCATCTTCATTTTTGCGTCATTGAAATGGCGATTACTCTTTTCTTTCCATAAACCAAAGGATAGCACTGAATTTCTGTACTTTCTCCTCAGGGAACTCATCGACGACCGCCATTTACCAATTCTTTTCCAAGCTTGTCCTCGATAATCTTCCCACCCAGGAGCACTCCCGCAGTGCATGTTGTCACTACAAAATTGAAGTATATCCTTTTATCACAATAAATCACCGTTGATATCGATTGTGAAAGAGTATCTCCTCAAAACAAATTTGTCGGGAAGAATGGCAAGGAACATGCGAATTGCGAGGTAGTTTGTGGTGATTTAACTATCAATTTTATATTATTTTTAGATAAAATTTTGCCTTCTTATTAGTACACTGAAAAAATAAACTCTCTTCGAAAAAATAGCACTTTTCCTTAACGGAATTGGGAGAAGTCCCCAATTTCTCGTTTTTAGATCCCGTGGCAGAATCTCCCAGCTCTGTAACCTTGATCAGAAGCAAAGTCTGCAATCAATCCCACCCTTCCCTCCCATACTCCATCACTTTACCGCGAATATCAGATTCCGACCAGCTTTCCCGGCGTGTTTGTTCTGCTTCCGAGAAAGGTATCCCTTGTTTTCCACTACTATATCATTCCCTGTGAATTCTATTATGAGTGTCTATGTTATGCTTATGACTATGATTGGAAATTTGATTTTGATTCTACACTGTTAATTTATTCCCCCTTTAGTTTGGTTCTTTACTATTGCCTTCCTCTTGAACCTAGATAAGTGATTGCTATAGTTAGTGCGTAGTAAGTAGTCCCCAGTATCGTCCTATTTTTTTATTATTTATCCAATTCAGCTTCTCTCGATTGTGTGTCGAGAGCATAACAGGGTATGATTTCATCAATAGCTTAATGACAGATGACCATTTAACTTTATTGTATAGTAGTACAATAGATTTATCTCTTCCAATGTGACAGAACTGAATTTTTTACACCATAACTTGCACAAGTTATAGTGTCTCAAGGGTTCATTGTGGGGAAATGATGAACCTGTATACTTGTATTGTCTAGATAGTTTAGAGCTTGTTGTGAACATGGTTGTTCTGCATTAATATGATTCCTTGTATGTGTACGTTGATCTTGAGTGTTCCATGAGTTGGTTTTTATTGGCTTGGTGAGATTTTGTTCTTGAATTCGAATTCTGTTGATGGAAGTTTTGCTGTGTTTTAATTATACTTTCAATCAAATCTTAGATCACTTCCTTCTATAAAGTCTTCATGATGGAAGTTTTGTTGTTTTCGTTGGCTTAATATGATTATAAAATGTCTCATAAATAAAAATGCAATGGCAGCTGCTTGCCCACTCACTATAGTTTTTTTGGTTTAGATTAAGTAATCAGAATCATCATGTAGTCTTTTAGTTGTTATTTTGTGATGCATGGTGACATTTTCATTTTCATGTTCTAACATTGGTTTATGTGTTTTAGTTTTTCATTATCTATGAATATAAATTGAATGTATAGCTCATTGCTCTTCTTTTGTTTTGTACAGGTGAATAAAGGCTATTTGAGTAAAATTGACTTTGTTGTGTAGAAGAAAAGGATACAACTCAAGGTTAGTCTTCTATTCACGTATTATCCCCATGACGGATAAAGATTGGGTGAAATTGAAGGACAAATTTTGTGCTGAATATGTTGCCGGCGTAAGACATTTCTTAGGTATGGCAACTAAGTCTGCTGATGCACTTGGTAGGATTAGATGTCCATGCAAAGGATGCAACAATACTTGCTTTAAGAGGATAGAAGAAGTTAAAAAGGATATATTTCTATATGGATTTATGCCGGATTATACGGTTTGGATACATCACGGTGAGCCATTTCAGCTTAGGCATACTAGCAATGTAGAAAATAGTCAAGATAATTCGTTTGAGAATTTCTCAGATGGTATGAGTAATGACATTCCTGAAATGTTAGAAGATATATGTAGAGCTACAAATGACGAATCAAGTTTGGGAGAGGGTATTGCTTCTACTGGTTATGGTACAATGAGTGTTAATAAGGATGATAAATTGGCTCGATTGATTAATGATGCCAAACAACCTTTGTTTCCCGGGTGTGAGAAGTATTCAAAATTATCCTTTCTGGTGAAAATGCTCAACAATAAAATAATAACTAATAGTAGCGACAAATCCTTTAACCTAAATTTAGAGTTATTCAAGGATGCTTTACCATCGGGAGAGACTCTCCCAACTTCTTATTACAATGTCAAGAAGTATATGGAAGATTTGGGGTTCAGTTATTATATCATAGACGCATGCCCAAACAATTGTGTTCTATTTCGAGGGAGTTTGCAAGGAGAACACAAATGTCCAGAGTGTGGAAAGTCTAGATATAAGCCCGATAATGGTAAAGGGAAGAAGGTGGCTGAAAAAAGGGTTAGGTATTTCCCTTTGAAGGATAGATTACAGAGGCTGTTTACAACTAAAGATATAGCTAAAGATATGAGGTGGCACAAGGAGAAACGGATTGATGATGATAAGCTCAGGCACCCTGCTGATGGAAAGACATGGAAACAATTTGATAAGGACCACGCTTGGTTTGCTGCTGACCCTAGAAATGTTCGGCTTGCATTGTCAAGTGATGGTTTTAATCCATTTGGAAACATGTCTAATAGTCACAGTATGTGGCCAGTGATTTTGACACCGTATAACTTACCTCCATGGAGTTGTATGAAGGAGTCTGTAATGTTCTTGAGTGTTCTTATTCCCGGCAATGAATATCCTGGTAAGAAGATACATGTCTATCTTGAGCCACTAGTAGAAGAACTAAATGAGTTATGGAATCTTGGGGTCAGAACTTTTGATGCACACACTGGGCAGTTTTTTCAATTACATGCTGCACTACTATGGACAATTAATGATTTCCCTGCATATGGAATGCTGTCAGGATGGTGTACTAGGGGAAAATTGGCTTGTCCGCTATGTAGTAGTGAAACATGCTATATGCGTTTGCAATATGGGAAAAAAGAATGTTACATGGCTCATCGTAGGTGGTTGGATACAGGACATCCTTGGAGGAGAAGTAGGAAATTTGATGGCAAACCAGAAAATAGAATGGCCCCAAAAATTTTGTCTGCTGATGATCTACTAAAGCAATTGGATGTAGTTTTTCCATCATCTAGAGGATTGACCCTCAGTCCTGTACACAAAAAAAGGAGGGTACAAAATGGTTTAAATTGGAGAAGAAGAGCTGCCTTCTGGGATTTACCTTATTGGAGAACTATTCAACTGCGACATAATTTAGATGTAATGCATATAGAGAAGAACATTAGTGAGACTGTATTGGGAACACTAATGGATATTGATGGGAAAACCAAAGATACCATTAATGCTCGTAAGGATTTAGAGCTTATGGGTATTAGAAAGGAGTTACATTTACAGAGGGATGATGGTAAAGTCTTTATGCCACCTGCTTGTTATACTTTAAAGGTGGCAGATCGAAGGAAATTGTGCGAATGGTTGAAAACTCTCAAATTTCCAGATTCTTATGCCTCAAACATTTCTCGATGTGTGACTACTGATGATAGTAAAATTTATGGAATGAAAAGTCATGACCATCATATATTCATGCAACGACTTCTTCCTATTGTTGCTCAAGGTTTGTTGCGGGAAGATGTGTATCCTGTTCTAGCAGAACTAAGTGGCTATTTTAAGGATCTTTGTTCAAAGACAATAGAAAAGTATGTTGTGAACAAATTGAGCAATGACATAATTCTGATCCTCTGCAAGCTTGAGATGTTGTACCCACCAAACTTCTTTGTTGTCATGATACATCTAGCAATACACCTACCACGTGAGATAGAACTTGGCGGGCCAGTTCAATATAGATGGATGTATCCTATGGAAAGGTAATCCTAGAACTTTTACAAAATTCCTAAATTATATTACTATCGTTTTGTAACCAGATTTTTCATATTTAGTTCACTTTGTTTAATATGTTTGTAAACTTGCATAGGTATCTGGGAACTTTGAAAAAATTTGTACGAAATAAAGCTCATCCCGAAGGATGCATTGCTGAATCGTACATAGCAAAGGAGTGCCTTAATTTTTGTAGTAGGTATTTGCAAGGGGTTGAAACGACAACTAATCGTGTAGATAGACACGATGATGGCCCTGAACCAAATTTCGAAGGTTTCATACTATTTAACGAAAGAGCCAGAACTTTAGGAGGTGGTACTCCTGAGAAATTATCCCCCTCTGAGTTTACTAAGATTCAATGGTATATATTGAATAATTGTGAAGATATAGAACAATATTTTGAGTAAGTGTCATTATTGAAATCACGTTTCAGTTCATTGAACAAATGCAGGGTTACTTTTTGTTAACTCTCAGGTTTATGAATATGTTACAGCATGCATAAAGATGGATTTTTGAAGCAGAATCCTTATGGTACAGAAGCAGATTTGCAAGCTGACTTTCCATCTTGGTTCAAACAACATGTAAGAATCATTTCTCCTGTTACATGTATGACCTTTTTTTAGTTTGTTATTCTTTAAGGGATTTTTCTTGTTTCATGTTTGACCTCTTTCTATTGTTTGTTCTGTAGGTTTCTAGACTGTATATGAATGGACAAATTAAAAAAACTGACCACTTATATAGTTTGGGGTTAGGTCCTGATGAGAGAGTTACTAGATATGCTGGCCTAATTAGTAATGGGGTTAGATATCATACTGTTCAGCATGAAAAGGGCCATCATACTCAGAATAGCGGGATTGTAGTTGAAGGTGATCACAAATCAGAAATTATTGACTTTTATGGTGTTCTCGTGGACATCATTCGGGTTCAATATTGCTATGGTTGTCAGGTTTTCTTGTTTAAGTGTGATTGGTTTGATGTTGGGGATAGAAGAAACGGGATAAAGTCAGACAGCTACCTCACTAGTGTTAATATGAGTAAGAAATGGTATATAGATGAACCTTACATACTGGCTTCTCAAGCCAACCAAGTATTTTACATTAGTGATATTAAAAATGGGGGTAATTGGCACGTGGTAGTGAAAGTACATCCTAGGCATGTGTATGATGTGCCAGAGCAACTTGAAGACATAGACCCAATGTATGACCATGAGCCATACCAACAAGATGGGAGCGTCAGTGCAACAGAAGTTCAGATACAGGACCAACCCATAG